GGAGTGGGGATATTTCCCGCAACTACTCTGTTACATGTCTTTACATATGTAATATTAGTATGTGTGTTATGATTTCAGTTTCTTATTGTTAATATTAATCAAATTATTATAAATTAAATTGATATTTGTCACTGTAATAAGTAGCGCCATCATAAATTATAATTTATATAAAATAATTACTATAGGGCGTGTAAAAACTTAGTGGTTATTTCGTGATACATACGTGTAGAGGAATAGTAAAGCATGTTGTATAGCAAAATACAAGTGCTTTGCTTTCATATTCTTTGTTTAGTTTATGTATCCCATCTGAGATATACGGCATTTTTAGCATTTATGCCCAAAACATACAAAGTGCGCAGATTCAGTGCACTAAATGCAATAAAACTTGCATTAATATACATACATAAGCGTTTGTATAAAATTATTCAAAGATGAGACAGTAGTATGAGATTTTGAAGTGCAAACGTACCCATATGTATATGATGCGCGCGTACAAAAATCCGAACAGCAACCTTTTTTTGATGTGCATTGGTTAATGCGGATGTTGGAGGAAATTGAAGAAAAATGCATAGGTAAAATGTTGATACGCAACAAAAAAAATCATATTGTACAAAGCTTTATTTTTCTTAATTTGCAAGAAAAAGTATATACCTTACAAAGATTATATCATAACATTTATGAAAAATGTTCATTTTACTCCACAAGATGTATTAAACTTGTATAATTTTTTAGAGACGTGACACCTTCTTTTAGAAAAGATGATGGGCGGAAGTAAGAATAAATTCAAAATTTATGAAAAATTGTTTAAAGTACAGCCTCTACCACTGTGAGAATAAAAAAAAAAACTTTTAAATACGTCAATTTCTCATGAAATTATGCTTACTTGAAATTAAGCAAAATTTTAATATAAATTTACATTACAATAATTTTGTTGACAAGTGTCGCAAATAATATAAAAAATTTTAGTAAACGTTTGTTAAAATTAACAACATTTAATGAAAGATTATCATTTACTGTAATTGAATTTTTTAAAATATATAATTTACAAAATCATAGGATGTATATGGCCAATAGAAGGAATGCCAAAAGGACTTCGATGGATCAGCTATATATTGCCAACTACGTTGCCCTCTATATCTATGAGAGGAATCATCTACAAAGGTTATTCTATATCTGAAGAGCAAGTTTATATTGGTTTCATAATAGTTGTAGGATGGATATTGTTTTATTTTATCGTAACTATACTTGGTTTAAGACGGAAGACTTGGTAATATTTAAAATGTCTAATTAAATTAATCTAATTAAATTGTCTAAAGAAAATTCTTTAAAAGGAAAACAAAAACAGTCTGACATAGAGTGCAAAGTTTAGATAGGTGCATACGTAGAACATTTCATCTAATTTGATTTAATATATATACAGGGTGTTCCTCAATTTTTGGCACAGTGCTTTTGCGTAGATAGAACGGAATAAACTTCGCAATGGTTAACGAGATATTAAAAATAGCTAAATTCGCTCATCGCACCAAATGCAAGTGGGCGGCGAGATAAGATCGCCTAACGAGGTGCATGTTCGCCGTCGCTAGACATATTTACAAGTAACAATGGCATTAACATGCCTGTATATGCAGAGTGTTTGATAAGTAATGATAAAACTCTTGCATAGGAACAGAGCGGACTAAACTGAATCGAAAAGTCCTCTATCATTTTACAATTTTCACAACAATTAACAAGAAATTAATTATTAAAAATCGTCAAATATTGATTTTCAATATTTTTTTATTCAAATACTATTAACTTCATAGAAAAACAGCAAGTGACAAAAATTATTTCACAACAATTAACAAGAAATTAATTATTAAAAATCGTCAAATATTGATTTTCAATATTTTTTTATTCAAGTACTATTAACTTCACAGAAAAACAGCAAGTGACAAAAATTATTTTTTTTTTTTTTCATAAAGTTCTGAGAATATTTTCAGAATTTTTTAATACCTTTTTTCATGTTGTAAAAAAAGTTGCCAATAAAAAATGCAGTACTAAAAAAATTGATAAAAAATTCTGAAAAAATTCTTAAAGCTCTACGAAAAAAAAAAAAAAATAATTTTTATTTCTTGCAATTTTTCTGTAAAATTGATAGTATTTAAGTAAAAAATTATTGAAGATCAATTTTTGACAATTTTTAATAATTAATATCTTGTAACTATTACGAAAATTGCAAAATGGTAGAGGATTTTTCGACTCAATTTAGTCTGGCAGATAAAGCGCACCTGTTTGGGATATATGGCATTTTTATCGGATTTATGCCCAAAGTGCGCAGATTGAGCGCACTAAATGCAATAAATGTATTATATAAAATATATACTTCTTGTAATAACATTTATAATATATGTAAGAGAATTGTAATTATTAATTAATTAATATAGGGGAAAGCGGGGCACCATGTAGTAGTCACGGAGTACCATAAGTCATCGATTGTAATAATCTAGAATATTTAAATTAATACTATTGTATTAACTATTGTACAATACGACTGTTACTTCGTTGCCTATATTTTTTATCTAGGTGGCAGTAATTAAACTTTATTGTATCGAAAAGCATCGATTATTAATTGTTTTCGTGGTTTAATGGCAACTTTTTAACCTTATAAAAATGTTTTAATATTGTTTTTATAGTAGAAGAACATATATGAAGATAAAGTGCAAGTTTCTGCGCATCTTTTTTCAACTTATTATAATACAAATAATAATCTAAAATTTATTTTTTATAGTTTTCTATTAAATGTATAATTAAATGTATAGTTGGAGTACACCATAGATCATATATTAAAATAAATATTTATGATAAAACAGGATAATATAGAAAATATATGTATGTAAGCAATACCCTAAATGGGCAGTTTATACTTCTAAGTAATTAATTTTATTTTATCGTAACAAATTTTTGTATTAATGATTATTTGGCATAAATATATCTTATTTGTTTTCTTTCTATTTTATTATTTAATAATTTTCTTATTTAATAATTATTAGTTATAATTATATTTTATTGTATTAGTGACTGCTAAGAATGTGTAAATTAATTGAAAATACTTTTCAACTTTCGTCACCATTATTTCTGGCATAATTCTACTATTTATATATAACTTATAGTATGGTCTCGAATATGGGGCACTATAAGTTATTTCTTAAAAAATATGTTTTTATTTTTTTTTTAATTAATAAATACTTACTAAATATACTTATTAAATTTTAAAATATGCATTATGCTTTAATTATTAAAAAAAATGATACAAAAATTTTTATATTTAGATGGACTTTTAAGAGTTTAAATTTTTATAACTCATGGTGCCCCGGTATCTCCTACGTATTTATCATTCTTTCCTTAATAAAATTTTATAAACATATTTTATAAGTTGTACTATTTTACGTCTTATTTATAAACGTTATTTGTAAATTTTTTATGTGCCGTACATACTCCTCTCTCCCTATGAGGATATACGGCAAAAATGCAAAAAGTTCTTTTGTTAGTACGAAGTATTTCGGATTTTTAATATTTTTTTCATAATAGTAGACAGTACAAAATTTTACTGATAATTTGTTTACTTTAAAAATAGTAAATAATATTTAATAAACAAGTTTTTGTTAGGTCCGTCATATATAGAAGTTACTCTATGGATATATTTAGATTTAATATTTAATTGTATCAATAATTATATTGTATAAAAGCTTGTATTACTTAAAAAACTAATCGGTTATTAATATATTTATAATTATACATTTAACAAAAAATGGAAGAAATGTAATATTGCATTATACAATTATTCCCATATAATATGGAGTATTCCAGCAACGATACAATGTTACTGCAATATTATGAAAATGCTCTGTGCTGTATGAGTTCGATCGTACATTGGCCATAACTGTCTCCTACTTATCTTAACAAATAAATATTTCTTGTAAATAAAGTTATAAACATATTCATTCAATAACAAAAATTACTAATGTAAAGATACACAATGAGAAGAAAAAATTTTGTTGAATTGCATATGTTTATTATCTACAGGTGTATCAAACTTTTAAATTAGAGATGTCAGTGTATAACTAGATGGAGCGAGAGGCGTTGAAGATTCTAGATACGATGCGCATGTCTTTTTGCGATTCACTTTTTTGCTTTACCTTTCGCCTTCTCCTTGTGTCTCAACTCTTAACTATTAATAAAAAGTTTTCCCTGCTAAATGGTATCTTTTTATTGTGCATTAGGAACTATAATAAGAGACGTGCTTTCAAGACAATAACGTATTTACAAATATTTAAACAATAAATTTATTATAATACTTCCCGGTAATAAATTTTTTATGCACGAATATGTATAAACATGCGTAAACACATATAAATATATATATAAACATATTCATAAACATATATAATTATTAATTATACGTCTCAAAATAATTGCCAAACATTTCATGAGCAGGTAAAACGAACTAAACTAAGTCGAAAAGTCATCTACTATTTTGCAATTTTTTGCAATAGTTAACAAAATATTAATTACTCAAAATTGCCGAAAATTGATCTTCAATAATCTTTTACTCAAATACTATCAACTTTACAGAAAAACTGTAAGAGATAAAAATTGTTTTTTTTTCTCTTTATAAAACTCTAATTTTTTCAGAATTTTTCAGAATTTTTTGATACCGTATTTTCTCACGTTGGCCGAGATTGCCGAAAAAGCATTTTTGGTCGCTTGAAACAAGCGACTAGTGTGAAGGAACTCGCTGTTCATTCTCGCCGCGCTGAAGGCGAGCACACGTATGTACATGGGCTCGTACTTGTGAATGTATGACTACCGGTTCGCCAAACCGCCGGTTGATTCTGTGTCGCTACCGTCAACGTAGAGTTCTTGGCTGAGTAGTCAGGAGCCTTAACGGAAGCTATAAGTGGATCAATGCGCTGTCGCAGCTTGTATCAGATTATAACACGCGCAAACATCGAACGATCGATATGCTATCTGTCAACGTTACCCCCATCGCTGAAAAACTCTTGGCCACGGTATACAGCGACGTAAAGATCGCGGATCCGGCGAAATTCAAAATAGGTGATTCGGTACGTGTGAGCAAATATAAAACCGTTTTCGAAAAGGATTATACATCAAGGCTGCATTTTAAAACTTCATCTCCGAAGGAAGATTTTACTCTATATGCTATGCTGTAGTATACGTTACGTGTACTATATATTTCGAGTAAAATCTTCCTCGGAGAAGACATTTTGAAACGTAGTCCAAATTGGACCACCGAGGTATTTAAAATCACTAAAGTGGAGCATACTTATCCTGTAACCTATCTACTGAACAACTATCGCAGAAAATCTATCTCTGGAACATTCTATGAACATGAGTTAGATCCCGCGGCTTATCCGGACGTGTATCTCATGGAGAAAGTATTGCAGGAGAGGTGACGAGGTTTACGTAAAATGGTTGGGATTCGATGCATCGCGCAGTTCTTGAATACACAAGGATAATATAATTTAATTCATATAAACTCTGTAATTTCATAAAAATATATGTGCGAATTGCAATACGCGATGAATCTTTGTTACATGAAGATCGTGACTGCTGCAACTTGCGATAATGTATAACGTAACGTTTTTTGTCATGCACAGTCGCTAAAAGTTTATCCTGCTGCTTGTCAGGTGATTTATCACGCGTTGAATAGAATGGCAGGTCAACGTACTCGTAGTGTAGACGCTCCGGATTTTCTAAATCGACCTCAAGAACGTAACCTGTGGCGAAACCTGAGCAATCGCGTTAACATCAAAGTCCGAGACATTTTCAACCCATCGAAATTTGGCATATGGCAACGTTTGACACATCGCCCATCTGTATAGATTATTAACATCAAGTACGTAGAAGGTTTCGATAGGTCATATGACTACATATATTTATTATTGGCTCGCGCGTACCTACTGCAATATTGACTAAGACCGCCGCGTATACCGCGCTCGATAAATATCACCGATGTCAGTGAGCGGTTTGAAATTTACGCGTATATGTTTCAGCATAGCGTGCCACGTAAAACCTGGTAAAGTATAATAATGCGCAGGGTCGAGACCGTAACTTTCAATACATTTATCGCGAAAATTTTCAAATATGTCGGCTAACAGCAACACGTCCGTTTTTAAATATAGATCGCTGTATTCACCCAAGGTTTGAACAGAGAACTGTTTCCAAACGTTCATGGCGTGCGCGTAATCGCTTTCGGATACAATGTCACCGGTCAAGGAACTGTAGAATAATTCGCGCGATGGTAAACGCGTATCCTGCAGCTTGTCAGCGCAATGTATTCGTGGAAAAACTTTTATGTATTAGTAAAAGTTTTTTCGTACTTTTTTTCGTATCAGTAACTCGAAGTCTTCTTCGGACAAATTTTGAAATTCGCATTGTAAAATTCGAAATTCATTTTTATTGAGAAAGGATACTAATTTGTCGGTATTTAAAAATTTATAAGAATCGATGAACGTAATTTTATGTTATTTCGCGAATCTGATCTTTCAGCGGTATCATTAACATTTTTTGTAAATAATACAATATATATTTTTCCTTTGTTATTGGTAGTAATTCTGTACTGCCTTCATATAATAGCTGTAGCTATTTCTTTGATGATAAAATGTGAATCAGCCTGATAAATTGTGGAAAACTATGGAAATAAAATATGAGTTTTTATAATTTAAATTGCAATTTGAATGCGCGGAACTCCTGTAACGATCGGTTAAATGGCACAATGATGGCTTACTCAATTATCGTCTAACACAGAAAGGCTTTTCACACACATGACAATGCGTCGTGCTGCACAATGTCTCCTACTGTTCGCTCGACAAAGTTTCCATGGGGACATTAGCTGCTAAAATTTTTTTTACGCAATGTGCTAAACTTCTCAGATTTTCGACAAACCATGAAACACAATTCGGATCACGACGAAATCAATTTTGATAATGAATCTTTATACGAACAGCGCACGTAGTATCCTATGCTAAACACTTGATGATACGTGCGCGTAGATGCTTCCTGATCGCTATCAGTTTTCTCGAGGATGCATTCTAGATCAGCGTAAACGACAAATGGAATTCGTTCCTTCTTATTATAGTTGTTAAAGCTCAGCCTCTTGTCGTCGTCGCTCAGTAGTCGAATAGCACAGTCGTTTATCCGTCGGCAATCTATCATGTATGACTGCAATTTCTCATTGGAATGAAAATAATATAAATAATTGCAAATAAAAATAAATAATGTTAATTTTGTTTTAAAGAAGAATTCGCTTTTATTAATCATATATTTACCGATCGCAAATATACTTTTGACCGTGATGTTTACTCAATTACGAGCTCATGAGCTTAAAACAGATTCTTGATACGAAATGACACATTGTCATCTCGCGAATCTTGCAAATAGTAACATGTTTCTACTTTCTGCCGTCAACGAGTCGTATCGGGAGAACGTTTAGTGTTTTCTGTCTCTCGATACCGTATACATTAATGGACACGTCGTTGAGACGTTCAAATTTCGTTACGTCTTTTAACGTTGAAAATTCTATATTTTGGAAATTCAGCATTATCTTATAGTGTGGGTAGGAAGATTCGCGATCAGCATTTCTTTCGGCTGAGTACAGAGCGACGACACCGACCACGCGAAGCAAGCATTGTCCATCGATCGCACGTTAATCACTCTCTTTATCTCTCGCGGCACTTCGAAGCGATTTCCTACGCGTATTGGATTACACTTATTGATATTTATTATAAGATTCATGATTCGCGACAACGTCCATTCACTATCACGTTCTTTAAATTTCTCGAGAGATGCCAACGTAGGCTCGATGATGTGCCGCTCGTACCATTCACGCAAGTTCGATGTTCAAAGAGTTCATAATTTTTAGTATTAATACTTTTATAGGCACGTTTATGACCCGCCACAAATTCGCCGTTAAATATGGTGTTTTACTTTTATACACTTGTGTTTTTCTATTGTGTCTTGCACTCGCTCGAGCACTACACTGCTGACATCTTCTAAAAATCATCGCGGCTCGATATAGTCGATATAACTATCGCATCGGTTAAAATTCGATTTTCAAACGTTGCATCGATCTCTTCCCAAACAAAAGATTTTTTCGCGTTATTGTCACTGTTATTGCTAGTGCTCGCATAATCATCACCAAAATGTAGAAATCGTCTTTCTAATTGAGTCTTTGTATCCTCGAGTCGTGCAATTGTAGCGATTAGAGATTGTCTATCCAATGGAGAGCCGTAGATGCTTGACATGATTGCATTTTTCAAACTGTTTAATAAATTCATTGCACTTTTCTATCCACGCGAAACACTCCTTCAAGATAGCAATTTGGTGGGATCGCTTCAACAGATCGCACTCTGCTTGATTGAAATCTCGATCTGTGTTTATAACGATTTACTTACGTAAGAGTATGAGTTTCAACGTACTATTATATAATCTGGCACATTTTTAAACTGAATTTATTTTTGTCTGTAATCTTCTCTTTTCAGAGTAGAGTATTATGCGCTCATTTTCAAAGTATGCTTCAAAAAACGTCTACCCTCATAAATATTTATGAAAATACAATTCTATCAAGCTTGATTTACATTTACACTTCTATTATTCTTAAAACATATTGCAAGAAACACGTATTAACGTCATGTCATCTCCCAAAAAAGAATAAAAGATCGAGACTCTTTTATCAAAAGAAAGAGACATTACGTTTCAATATCATCGATTTCGATAGCAGCCAGATGTTGGCACTCAATCAATTAATTATAAAACTTAGTCGTATTTATTTAAAATAATTAATAAATGTTGTTTCTAGAAAAATTACATTACGCCATATCTTGGTCGAAAAATGATTGGAGCATATACCGGCGAATATCCTTTGTAACACTTTTCGTTTTATAATCGTTCGGTTTTTTATATTGTTTTTGTTCATGGCAATATTCCCTTTTTATGATGTTTTTTGTTGTCTTATACATGATTCAGTCCCAAAAATCTATGATGTCTTATTACCACTCCTGCATGACGCTATACCCCCCACTTCCAAAGAATCCCCCGTGACTCGCTCCTTAGAGTTCGAACTCTTTCTATTACACTACCAATAACAAAAATAAAAAATGAAATCGGAATTTGTATTTTGTATGCGTAATTAAATAGATCATCAAGGTGAAGAAACATAATATTTCATTTGGCTTACAAAACATAAGAGTTAATAAGATCTGAAATACGTTAATCCTGTATCTAAATAAGGGGAGGGGAGAAGATAATGATATATTTAAAGCCGCCACAGGTAAAGCCACACCAGTCATCGCGTAGTCTTGGAGAATGTTAAACGTACTTCTTTGTATTTCTTAACAGTTCATAGAGAAAGTATGTAATAACCGCATAAGTATTTTAAGCTTTTGAAAATTTATGACCATACCTGATATGCACAACACACACTTTGTTCATGTTTTATATATTATAAAAAAGTGCGATTGTTAGAAAAATTTACAATATGTTAATGCAATATGCTACAACATGACATTATTTCATTTTTCTCTTATGGTCTATTATCAGTCATGTTCAGTGATTAATTGAGTCGATCGAAGAGATTGGATAAATATTTCATTCATAAATTTCATAAATCATAATTATCAAATTTCTCGAAGAAGAAAAAAATGTTTTATTTGTGAGCTTGATAAGCGGTACGTATTGTATAAAATCCTAAACAAATTTAAAACTAAATTATAAATGTGACGTAAAAAGAAAAGTATATTTTCTTTTTTATTTCATATATTTTTAAAAATGCAAAGGACGAAAAACAAGCTTTTTAACATAATTAAATCGGTAAGTTAAAATGTTATACATGATACTTTTATAGAATCTGTGTGTGTGTGTGTGTGCGTGCGTGCGTGCGTGCGTGTGTGTGTGTGTGTGTGTGTGTGTGTGTGTGTGTGTGTGTGTGTGTGTGTTGCACGATTATTAACCCACATATAAAAACCATATGTATTGATTTATATCATACTGATACCATCAGTACATTGCAAAAAAGAGTAGATAACTAAATTTAGCAAAAAACAATGATTTTTCATTTTTATGCTTTTATTTTTTAATTTTTATGCTTTTATTTTTTAATATAATTTACATAAAAATTATTTAGATGTGTGAGTATAAAAGATAATTTGTTAAAAAAAATTATGTACTCATTGTTTTTATGTTTTTAGTTTGTCATAAATAAAATTAGTCAAATAAATTAATCATATTTTTAAATGTCAAATTAATGCGAGAATAAATTTATTAAGAATGTCATTACAAGTTATGAAATTTGTTTTCAGAATCAAAACGCTATAATTGCACAGAAAAAACAATTTAGTTATAACTACCTAAAATAGGTTCAATCAAATGTTTTGGTTAATGTAACCAAACATAACTTTATCCTTACAAAAATTTAGTATCACCAAACAGGAAACTCGTAAAGATAAAATTATGTTTTGATTATGTAATTATGATTAAACATATTTTAGGTAGCTATTACCTTAAATTTACATTAAATTACATTAAATTTGATAGTTATTACCAAACACACTTGTGTTTTCACACTTTTTCTGTGTGTATTTTACAATCACGACTGGTATTTATCATCCATTTTTATTTAAAAAATAAGTTTTGTCTCATAGCAAATTCGATTGAACTAGTGAGCACTGGTGCATATCAAAGCCGTTGTATACTGATTTAATTTATATAAAAAATAAAACATATTTCAAATTATAAAATACAGATTTTATTTAACAATACAATAAAATGTAGATTTCATGATTTAATGAGTTTCTATATTTATGTTGAATGCATATCTTTACATCAATTTGTGTATGACGACTTGAATATGCATCAGCATGCAAGGGAGTTAACATATCACTTAATTATTAGTGAAAACAGAAACCATATTAACTGGAATATCATACAGCGCTCGGTTATTATGGAATATCGATTGAAATATTCTCATGAATTTGATTGGAACAATATACGCATCTTAGATGAGGAAAAAATACTAAATAAAAGATACATCTCAGAAATTATTTTTATCAAACAACAAACTAATGATTTACAGAATGATACGAAATTGTTAGACAAAGCTTATGATAACATAATTATGTTTAAATGACACGCTCAATGTATTCTATATTTTATATGTTTGTATTTGTATTGTTGTCTTGTCAGATTAGACTCGACGTCCGACGCATGAACAGCTTAATAACGTTTTGATGATGTAAGGCCCAGTTCCACGACTCACGGTTAATTCTTAATCGAGGTTCAACTTAATTCTCATCTTTTTCCAATTCTAAAATTGAAAAGAGACAATGAATAAGTTGAATCTCGGTTAAGGGTAAATTGTGGAACTGGGCTTAAGTCAGAAAAAATTTTTTATGCTTATATTCTGTTATATAACAACTCGAACTCGACTAAATTTATTGTATAGTATATCAGGAAATACAATGACATCACTGTTACATTACTGTTACATTACTATTCTTAGATGACTAAATTTTATTAACAATTTACATGGAGCATTGATGAGGATCCAAAACAGAATCAAAACATCTGCGATTATAATTATGTTAATTTAAATAAACTTCACATTGTCATCCTGTGTTGACTCTAAGTCTTAAAGTCAAATAGGCGTTATTTGATTGTATTGATTTATTTCATTCGAGCTCTTTAATATTTATTTTATTAATTATATTGATGACCACTTATGCAATCATGGGACAGAGTTCTCAAAATTCATATGAAATCTCTATGTATAGTCCGATAATTATATATGCAATCACGAGAAATCATTAGATAATATTAAATTAAATCATATATTTTATCTCTCTCTCAAATAAATTCATAATTATGTAGTAAAAAAAATTATTTGTAATCAGATGAAATCATAAGAAATCCGTGAGACAATATTTCAACTAGTGGTTATTTTCTCATATCAATGTGCATTAAATTCGTCGAATTCGCTATTAGGTGATATTTTAAACTGCTAATATGACTATGTGATTGATTTATAACTTCTTAAAATTATAATTATCCTCTCACGGTGTAAATGGAGTCATTAGTGTGTGTGTCCAGGCAATTTTTTAAATTATAAATATTTTGAAAACATGTGAGTACGGACACGCTATTCTGTTCCTAACAAAACTTGTCGGGTGGGGGAAGGTGCCCGTGAAACTCCGGCAGTAGACATCATTTTCTTGCTGAGCAATGAATATTCAAAATTGAGAGCTGACATAAATAACCTCTGTTTATGCAACGAATATTTGTCGTACACTAGGCGTTAGTGATGCCTTCCCGTTTAAAATTAGTTTGCTCCGATCGTACACTTCATATCTGAATATTCATTCATCATAACTATCAGGTTCGCCAATGTTATTTCGAAACTGCATGTATAATGTCAAAAAGAAGTATTACTAGTATAATTTACATATGCTAATATTATGATACTATTAATACGAAATTAAAATGTAATATCAAATTTAATTTCACAAATTAGATCTTGTCTCGATCTATGTAGTTTTTCATAAAACTTTTCCGTCAGGAAGTAACTGTTATTTAACCGATAAATAAAGATTTATTTCGATTAGATTTAGTTTTCTTTATTGAAATCAAGAGTCGGTCGTATTTAGAATTATTCAAAATATGTATTTTAAATAAAATATAAATTAAATAAGTTATTTAATATTTATTATTTCAAATAATTTCTTATGACCTATTTCACTAATTTGTGAACTTAAATTTGATATTACATTTTAATACATAAAATCTGCAAAAGAGATGTGTTACAATTTCTTCATTCTCTTACTATGTTATTCCGTACATATTTTTTTATTTACGAAAGCGTACTCACATAGCACGAGAAGCTCATAAAATTTTTGTAAGCTTTAAAAATAATTCCTCGGGAATTCCTACATCCGCTTATGAGAGTTTCCGAGAGCTTCATTTTGATTCGCAAGCAGCTCTTTTTAAGCTCCCTGAGAGCTTAGCAAAATAAACTTCTTAGCTGAGAGCTTATTTAGTCGAATTTTGTAAGCTCCCTGGAAGCTCAACAATATAAACTCTCTACGAGTTCGTTTTGTCGAATTTTATAATCTCCCCGAAAGCTCAGCAAAGTGAACTTCTTGGGAAGACTTAAATTGAAACTTTGTGCTGTGTGGGTATAGATTTTAAATAAAAAATAAATTTTTTAAAGTCAAATTTTTCATAGGAACGCTTATTTTTATAAGTTTCAAAATTGTAAGACTTCATATCCTGAATTAAAGCATTTAAATTTAAAAAAATTTAAACTTTAATTTTCATTTTTAATAATTAGATTTTGTTAATTTGTTTAAAAATTATAAATTTTTAAACACCAACATACCATACTCGCATTTCGATTTATATATATTTTTGCAAAAATAAAATATTTAATCAATAGATTTGTAAAATTATGTATAAATCTTTTATTCATAATAGTTGAAGAAGCTATTTGGGTTGTTCGGAAAGTAATTTCGTTTTTTCCCAACAGAGGACTTATTGTATTTTTTCATAGCCAACTTCACACTTAAGCCGCATAATCATTATATATTTTGACAGCTGATATAGCAAGGCTTGCTTGTGAAAAAAGTTCGATTGATTCTACGCAGTAGTTTTTGGTTAGTGCCCTATCAAATATGAAAGTAAAAAGCAACATTTTCGGCATATTTTACTTTTTTACTATCAAAAAAGTAAAAATGCTGTTCAAGCAAGAAAAAAATTATCCGATGTGTATGAAGAAGATGTATTGACAGAACGCCAGTGCCAAAACTGGTTTGCAAAATTTCAATCCGGCAATTTTGATGTTGAAGATGCTCCACGTTCTGGAAGGTGAAGCTGATGAAGACACAATAAAGGCATTAATTGATGCAAACCGGCGAATAACTCGTGAGATCGCTGAGAGATTAAATTTATCAAATTCGACCGTTCATGATCATTTGAAACGCGTCTGATTGAAAATCATCTTTCATTTTTATAAGAAAAAACGAAATTACTTTCCGAACAACCTAATATATGAATTTTTTAATATTTTTTGAACTATTTAATCTATTAAAAACACTTTGGATATTAACGACTCCCGTACAATTAATGAGTATTACAAAAATGTATATACATTTACATGGCGACGATGGTCTTAAATAAGAATTATCTGAAAAAGAATTATTTATCACCTTACATACGATAATCGCAGAAAAAGGAATAAAAATTATAAAGGTTCAGCGCGCACTTTTTACATTTAAAACCTAAATACTAGATATATTTGAAAATACATACGCCATAATATTATATGAGATGAGATTTGTTTTGAAATTCAGTTTAATGCACATAATTGTAAAATAATTGTGAGAACATAATTTAAAACATAATTGTGAGAAAAAATGAAACATCGAATGGAAAATTTTTTAATTCTAACAACAATAAAAAATAAACAATCCGTTCAAGGTTAATAAGAGGCTAATGAAAGTGCCAACGATTAAATTATAATATCATTAATCATCTTTCATAATGCGTAATTTTCTTTATTATGAACGTTTCGGCTTTTTGGAGTTCTCTTGAGCAATATTGCAGTTCTTAATTCATCTTCATTGAACCTTCCGTAAAATTTCAAAGCTTCATGGACACGTTGAACTTCCCGTTTAAAAATCCACTGCAATTGGAAATCTGATAGTGACTTACATTTAACGGAAGATTCAATGAAAATGAATTAAGAACTGTAACATTGCTGAAGGGGATTCCAAAGAGAGCCGAAACGTTCATAACAAAGAATATTATGCATTATGAAAGATGATTAATGGTATTATAATTTAATCGTTGGTATCTTTATCGATCTTGACTCTTATTAGCCTTAAACGGATTGTTTATTTTTATTTTTAAATTTGTGAGTCTGTTAAAATTTTATATTTCAAACAACAATATTTGAAAGGTTTCATGATTAATGTTATGACAACTATATAGCCTTATTATCTAGGACTTTTTAGTATCTTATTGTCATGATTTAAGAGGTTCTTTAATAAAATGTCGAAAATTTGGGGTGCCTCACCAGGACCTACCCAAATTACAAATATTTAATTTCATTTCATTTATTCATGCAATCAATAAAATTTACAATTGAGGAATTAGTGATTACAGAAATTGTGAAATGAACAAAGATATAAAGAATGAAAGGAATGAAATAAGGAATGAAATTAACAATAAATTGTACGCAGAGAAATATTTGCATAATTTGAATAAAATATTAAAATAGATAACAACGGTGTGAAGACTCTTTATATGTAACATAAATAAACAAACAAAGTAAACAGCGAAATAAGAGTCACTCTTATTTCGCCGTTTACTTTGTTTGTTTATTTATGAAAATATTAAAACTATATGTATATCTTAAAATGGTATGGAATATTCAATAATAAATCAAGAGCTGCGTCTTCATCAAAACAAAAAAATATTTATTTGTCGAGGTTAAATTTATATGCAAATTTATGCACGTATCTTTCTAGAAAAACAGTTGACCTATTACTTTTTTGTGACCATTAAATCATAATTTTTTAAACTATTACCCTAAGCGCATAATATTATTTAAAATTAAGCAATATTTTAGGCATATTCTCTCTCTTAGAATATTAAATGTAACATTTTAAAAATATTGTACTAAAATTATATAATATTAAACAATATTCTTGAAATATTAAATGAAAGGTTAACTTTGTCCATTTCTGATAATATTGTATGATTATTAAAAGTAACATTATTTAATGTTACTGTAATATTGCATAAACATTAAAAAGTATTATAACAAAATTTATTTTAATTTGTAAAATTGTTATATTTGTTTGGTATAAGTATACGTTTAAAGATTGAAAATAATTTTGACGCGCAATTGTAGAACTGGATATGTATACTTAAAATCATGCCAAAACGTTTTTTTAGCACAAGATGCAGTATAAACTGATAAGAACTTTTCGTTGCTGGATTGTGAATTTAAATTGCACTAAATTAAGAATAATTAAGATTTATAAATATTTTAATAATATTTAAGGAATATTAAGATGTAATAAGTATTATATAAGTGGACATATAACTTTTATAGAATACTCCTATAATGTTAAAAATATTATATAGTATTCTTGAAATATTATAATAACTTATTTTAATTTTTTAACAGTATCTATATAACATTTTAAAAATATTTTGCACTTATAGGGTATAATTTTTTTTTTTAGAAAAGTCTATGGTAAGATTAAAAATTGTTATCATAAAATACATACATACTATAAAATGAAATATTTTGAAAATTGTCTTCCTGTTAAAATTAATAAAATTAGTAATTTCATATCTTTTATTTTTTCTAATAACACTTTAAAATCGCTCCAGAAAATTTGAAAAGGCTATTACAAAAAAATAAGATATGAGAAATTATCGACATTTTATTGATTTTAACAGGAAAACAATTTACAGAAATTTAAATCATCTGAAAAAAAATGTTACAGTTCGGTCGCTGATCGAACACTCATCATCATTTTGCAAAATGGTGCAACAAGAAGCGGTGATCGTAAGAAACGCCATAAAGCGTTATGGGAAAGGACAGTTGGTGCTTCACGGTCTGAATATGACCGTTTCAAAAGGTTCCATGTAAGTAATTTTTTGATATGTCAATACAAAAAAATGAGTTCTCTTTTTATTTATTTTCGAGAGTTGTAAACAAATAATAATTCAAATTTTTTAAAAGAAATAATTAAAAAGATGTTCTAGGAAAAGAAAACGATGCAATGAAATTATTAATTCGTGATTACACGTGCGATTTTTAAACCTACATACAGCATATCTTTTACCCAACCTGATACTAATTTCTTCACCTTCGATATGTAGAAAATTGCCTGAAATTGTCGTCACGCACATTTCCGCGTACATTCACCGATTGCTTAAATTGCCGCCGCTTGCAAAATACACGACAGAATAATCGTATAACTTTCTAACGAATATTTAGATAAGAAAATCTTTCGGAACATATTAGAATCATTATAATTTTATTTCAAATTTGTATTTAGTTTTTAAAAGTATATTTCGTCATATTTTGTTTTTTGTATAATGCTTTTCAAGTTGCTGGCTAAATAAGTACTTGTTAAATTTATTAAAAATAAGTTTTTGTAAAGATAAAAATGTGTCAGAGATATACCTATTTAGCATTGTGCAATATTTAAAAAACCGTGTACAAATCTCAAAGCATACTAAAAAGTTAATAAATAAACTTTCCAAACAACACAAAGCGTCTAAAATTGTAATATAAGACGTCTTTAAGTTGTCTTTTAGATGCAAAAAACCCGATTTCAGACACTTTTTGTTGTCTGAGTTGATTCTTATAGTTGAATATATTTTTTTGACTGATAATAATGACTATATTCATAATTTTCGAGTCAAAACAAAATTCTTATTTAAATGCTTGAATAAGCTAAAAAACTTGATTACATCTAATTTAATAATCTGTAACTATTAATGATCTAGTCGAACATGTTATTAACATATTGCCTAACAAATACATATATGTGAAATTCTCTTTGCATTCAATTATAATGAATGAAATTAGAATATCCGAGAAAATGTGTTTGATCTTTTTGGCGGCATTTCTACAGACTTATCCGTTGGCAAGACTTCATCCACTGCCTCTAGAATCTCGTCCATCGCCGAACCATTATCTGATTTTATCTCCTTCCTCTTATTAAAATAATGATGCTTGTCAAAGATGTTTTTTGTTGATATGTGTCTATTTTTCTGTTTTTTATTTTTATTCGAAGGAGTAAGAACTTGAAGTGTTCTTCGAAAAGGAATTTTTCGGATGTCTCTTATATTTTTCAAAGATCCATGCAATGTAACATCTGTTCCAACATTTCGTTGATCAATCTCTTGCGAAGTGCTTGTGATGATCTTGTTTAATAAAATTAAAGAAAGATTTTTTAGTTGATTAAATTGTTTTCTACGAAGTTTCATATGCTCGTGACGAATATCTATGAATTCTTTTAATTTTGAGACAATTTTCCTTTTGATGAGATCATCATCTCGAAATGTTTTTAAGATCTCAGAAAAAAATGTATCATTAATGATAGAAGTGTCCTTAACATCGGTAGGGGTGTTTAATGTAAATTCCTGATTGATTGGTATAATAGTGAAATTCTTGGTATCATCTTCGGTACGTTTTATTGATTCCTGATCCATAATTTGTTCTTCTATTTTAGATGTGTTATTTGATGTATTCATTGGAAATTTATTTATATTTATTTTAGTCTCAATTTTAGTTTCAATAAGATTGCCTTTATTCTGTTTAGTTAAGATTATTTCGTCAACGTTTTTAGTGCTTTCACTGTTATTTCCGTCTTCTGAAATATATTTATCATCCTTCGATTTCTCATGTTGTTGATTACCTGTACTTAAATTTTTAAAAAAAAATTCTGCTTGTCTTTTTAAATTCAAAAGTTGCCATTTTGAGATATAATCGAGATCGTCGTAAAATTGCTGCCATTTTAAATCAAACAATTTGTTCAACCACAATAAAATCGATTTGGTATATTCAAGAGACAACTCATCGTTTGTAATTAATCTTTTCATTTCCATTGCAAATTCGAGATTAGAGATCATCCAAGACAATGCAAAATCATTTTCATCAAGGTTTATAGAGTCTTCATCTTGGGGTATAATAACATGTCGCAAAATTTCATAGGCATTTGAATTCTGATGAGTCAATCTTTTATAGCTGTTGCCATATTCTTGCATCAGCAATGGCACGCGCCATAACATACTTCGAACGTCATTTCTGACCTACACAAAAAGTGTCACGTTTAACTATTCATAAAAATTAAATTTATACAGTTTAATAATTTAATCTTTTAATAAATTTCTATGCATATGCAAATATTCTAAGTTACACATAAAATAAATTTACTAATAAATCAATTAATTTGTTTATGAAATATGAATATATCATAATATGGTGCTCTTTGTTATGAAATCATTGTTACATGCAGTTTCTCAAAATGTTTTATTTGGTAATGTTTTCTTGTATTTATAAGACTATTCGTCAATTATTAACTTCAAAGTCACTTTGTTGAATTTTACCTCTGAAAAAAATTTAATTCATTAATAGGGTCAAGTTTAATAAAAATTCTTTATATATTTTAACTTATATAAGAGTATCTCAAAATAATCGAAAATATCCTTTTTATAACAAATTTTTTAAATATCAAAAGTTAATTTTTTTCGTAACAAAAACACCGAAGTTTCTACTTAATATTAATTGTGTGTATTATATAAACTTTGTAATATTACATGTCAAATAAAAAGTTTCTAAAAATAAAAACGTAAAATAAAAGACTTTCAAAATTAATTAGAAAAGAAGAGAAAGGGGGAGAGAGAGAGAGAGAGAGAGAGAGGGAGGGAGGGAAAGAGAGAGAAAAGAATATATCTTTTTTATTTATTTAATTTTTCGAAATTTAATTTCAGAAAAGCTTTTCCTCTTTGACTGTTTATGACTAAAAAGTGATTGATATATTAATATTTTTAATAAAAAACAATTACTCTAAATTTATCGTCGAATTTGTTATTAAACATCTAATAAATATATTTAGTTATTAAAAGTAAGCCAACTTACTAACAGAATCCTGTTCAAAATCTATTTTGCCATTAATCTCAATAATTTTCCTTTCCAAATTAATTATGATACGGACTTGCGGTTCCTCCATTCCTTCTAGTATTTCAATCAACTCACCAAAATCGCTCAATTTGTTCGCGCGTAGATCGATCAACATTGTATTGTCATGTATCATCGATATCGATCCTTGGACTGGTAAAGAGGAGAAAATTCCTCTTGTGAGTAGCAGGATCGTGATGATACTAATAATCATCATGACACAATGAAACTGAAATGAGTGTGGGTTTGCTTGATGATTTTATCAGGTGCACCGGACGGCGATATATTTCGCCCGCCATATCACGATCTTGCGAAAATCGCACAGTGGTGCCTAAGAGCATCTTTGCAGCGTTTTAATTATTTCGGAAAATGGAATAATTTTTTTATTACTCTTATATATATAAAACTGTCAATTCGATATTATAAGTATACAAATATTTATATATTGCAAAAAAATGACATGGATAATAAAGATTTGATAGATATAGTTAAATATTTTCTAAATTCTCTTACAAAAAAAAATTCTATATTTTCATATTATATAGTTACATCGGACTGATATTAATGTTACATAGATTATCTGGACGTTCTTCAAACAAATTTTTAAAAATTCAAATTTAGATCACTGTTTAGGCACCACTGTGTGTTATTAGCACTAGGCTAATTGCTTTTGCGAATGATCGTTATGTTCGCGCGAATTTAATGATCAAAGCTATGAGATTGTGTCCAACACTTTATTAACAAGTCGGTCTTGCCAACAGTTCAGACTAATTACAGTATCACAAGGGAAACAATAACCGCCATTGTTCTTCGATGAAGTGCGACCGTGAGTAGATAGATTGGCTGATAAGTTAATTTCGAAAGAAAATCCATACAAAACAATTATGACGCTGTTTTTTTATTGCGAGATTAAAGGAAATATTTACTACTTTGTGCCCCTCTCTTCTCGTTCGAATGTATCGTCTAAAATAAGATAAAGCATATAAACAAAATCCTTCCTTTAAACAGATATGGATTGTTGGGAGCGAGCGGATGCGGCAAAACCACTCTGCTGTCCTGTGTTGTCGGAGTTCGATATCTTGACAGTGGTGAGATATGGGTCTTGGGGGGGAATCCGGGCAGCAAGGGCTCTGGCATCCCTGGGCCTCGAGTGGGTTACATGCCGCAAGAGATCTCTTTGGTCGGAGAATTCTCTGTAAACGGTGCTTTATATTATTTCGGCAGGATCAATGGGCTCGACGATGAAGAGATCGGTAAGACGTAGAATGGATAAGGAAAAAGACATTCTCATTGAAATCACGCGAAAAATCGCAAATATGCTCCAAACTTTTAATTTTACAAAATACTTTTAAATAAACATCTTTTAAACAGTTTCAGTTTTTTTTTTAATTGCTTATTTTCTATGCAAAATATTTCACACCGTAAATTATTTCGAAATAATTATATTAGCTTCTCTGTGTTATTTCTAAGAGGCAAGACAGAAGTTCTTTTCGGATTTGCTCCAACTACCCCCAGCGGATCGCTTAGTGAAGAACATGAGTGGAGGTCAGCAAAGAAGAGTTTCCTTTGCTGCCGCATTGATTCATAGGCCCGAACTCTTAATCCTAGATGAACCTACTGTGGGCTTAGACCCAATTTTAAGGGAGAAGCAAGTAGATTTTACTTTTTTTTTAAACATAAGCATACAATAATAGGAAAATGTTGAAACGTTCTTTCTCTTCGTAGTATTTGGGCCTACTTGAGCCAAATCACGCAAAAGGAAGGTATCACTGTGCTGATCACGACGCACTACATCGAAGAAACTAAAGATGCTAATAAAGTGAGTCTTGTTTCTAGTAAATTGATCCTAATAATGTAAAAAAGTTGCTGCAAAATATTTTACAAGCTTTAAAAAAATTACATTTTAGAGGCTCAGCCAACTAATAATTAAATAATAAATTCATATAAAGAGGCTAAATGAACCAATGCACGTTGTCGGTGCCAAAAGAATATACTTGTATTATTATAATTTACAAAAATCTTTCATTTGTTTCGGGTCTCGGAACCGTCTTCAATGAATACATAAATTATATTACATAAGTTGTTATCATCTTACGTCTGTTCCTTATCGTTTCATTAACATAAAAAATTCATCAATTACTTCGTGTTAGAACGCATTCAAAATAGTGATCCCTATCGTACCGAGTGAACATTTTCGTGTAAACTATAGAGGTATTGGCTTAGAACATATGAAAATTGTCGAATCAACAAGACGAAAGCTTATATGTCAGCAAAATGATTCAGACATGTAAGTCTCGTCCTGTCGGTTCGGCAATTCTCATATGTTCTAAGCCTAAGCCAATACCTCCATAATTTAATAAGAACTCGATATGATAGAGATCACCACTCCAAATGTGTTCTAACATGAAGTAATTGCGATGAGTTTTTTTAATAGAACAACGAGGAACAGACGTAAAATGATAACGTATGTAATATAATTTATGTTTTCACTGAAGATGGTTCCGTTGAGAACCAAAATGTATGGAAGATTTTTGTAAATTATAGCAATATATTCTTTTGGCACCGACAATGTGCATTGGCTCATTTAGCCCTTATATGAATTTATCTTTAAAAAAATGTTTTTTAATTTAAGAAGAATCTTGTTTGATATACTATATAATAATACAAATTCATTCTTTAATGTTGCGCAGATTGGTTTGATGAGATGTGGTAAATTGTTGGCGGAATCGGAGCCGCAAAAATTACTGGAGCGATTTCAATGCTCATTCTTGGAGGAAGCTTTCCTGAAACTGTGCGAGGTACAGAATAATACTTTGAATAATGAAGTTGAGAGATTCAAAGTAGAAGATACCAGCAGTGGCGTCTTGCCTCAAAATGAATATGAACAAACAAAAGTATATATATATATATATATATATAGAAATAATTTATGCTTCTTAAAAAATCATGTAAATCTGTATTGTATGATGCAAATAATTTAAATTGTTAAGGTAATCTCGGAATACAAAGAGGTTCCGAAACATCAAATTTCACGATTGAAAATATTCAAAGCTCTATTGACGAAGAACGGCATGCAATACTTTCGTTATTATGGGTAATTATCAATAAATTTATCAATAATTAATTCTATGATAACATTAATTGATAAAATTAATTGATAATTGTTAATGAATTATTATACACTTTTTTATCTATATAAAAACGAATTTCTACCTTTTTATTTTCAAATTTTGCAATTATTTTTCCTATATTTGTACATTGAATTGTTGTACATTGTACGAAATATTTAAAAAAATTCAAATTTATCAAATAATTCCACGTTTCATAACAATAATATTCTTTCAGAGGATTAATTTTCGCAGTAATATTTCCAATAATTCAAACTTTCGTATTTATTATGGCAATTGGCGATGATCCGAAAGATTTGAAGATTGGAATTGTTAATGATGAGGCGGGTAGATGCGACAGCAACTTTGGCAGTATTTGGAATGACGAAATCACCTGTCACTTTGGCAATCTCAGTTGTAGATTTCTACACAATTTTGATGACTCTATCGCGACACAGGTACAACGATTTACATTAAAATTAAAATGAGAAATCAAATCGTATGTATTAAAATAATATAAAAAGAAGGCCTATAAAGAGCAAATAAAGATGTATTTAATAGTTAAATTTAATATTATAAATAATAGATAAAATGTTTCTTATTTAAATATTATCATATATAATAATATATACATATAATATTAATATATACATGACTTTTAAATAATATAAAACGATATTAATCATGAATCATATATATTAAACGCATCACAACGATACAAATAATAGTTGCCTATTTATGTTTGTTACGCAAATCATAAATTGAATCCAAAGTTCATTGCTATTTTATTGATAGAATTATAATTGGTTGCAAAAGAGTTGATGATAAAATAACGCAGAGTTAAATAGTTGATATTGACTAGTTGATATTTTTTATATCGAGTGAGAAAACTAATGATATTAATATTAATGTAAGATTTTCTCTTAAGATTCTGACATGTTAGCGATAAAAGATATGAGAGTGAAATGTGATTGAAAAACAATTTAAAGATTAATAATGTACAGTTGGCATGTATATAATATTAAAACAATTTTACGTTTTCTTGATATCCTTTTCCCACGAATTTTTATATTTCAATAAATTAAAATATAAAAATCTCAATACATATGGTATACACACATTTTGATATAAATTAACAGAATGACATGAACAATAATAAACGTTAACATATTTCTTGAAGATTCTTATTAATATTTCGCTTTCAGGAGTATTATGACAAAGTTTCTGAAGCGAATCATGTTGTACAAAATGGTAAACTTAATGGTTTACTGTATTTTAGTCATAACTTCTCAGAAGCTCTACAGAAACGAATGGAAGACGGCGCTTTCACGAAAGATTCCGATTTACTCGCCAGTGAGATTCAAATTTCCCTTGATATGGGTGGTACGTTATTGTATTATAAAAAGCATTCTCTATAATAAATAAGAAATTTGGTTAATTTAAATATATAAAAATTATTTTAAATAAAAAGTATCATTTAAGAAATTACATAAAGAATCCAATAAATTAAGATCCAAACAATTTAAAATCATATTAACATAAACGAATATATTAACATAAACGGTGCGCAAAATTAATTTATTTATTAGAAAAATTACAAATATTTAAATTTACAATGGCTTCGTTACAGATAGACAAATTGGGCTTTTCTTGCAGATGAAGTTATTTAAGCGTTTTTTAGAGATTTATGAGGATATCATGAAGGATTGCAAATATTCTCCAAAATTGGCCGATCCACCCATTCGAGTAAATATGTTTTATATTTTGTTAGAATTTTAAATCTATCTTTTTTTCAATAAGAAATGCTGGTTATAGACTCTCAAAATTAAAATAATGTAGGAAATTAGGCAAATGAGAGTTCGATGCGGTACTTAATGCACAATCATCTATTTTTTTTTCTCTTTCTCCATCCATTTTTCTCTCTCAATTATATTGAATTAAAATAAAGGAATAAAATTCCAATTGTTTTCAGTTTGAAGAACCTATTTATGGTACGACCGATCTCAATTATGCGGATTACGTGGCACCAACATACATGTTAACGTAAGCAAAAGTCAATCCAACACACTGAATGAAATCATTGCTGTTACTAAACTGTTTATATCTTTGCAGACTTATCTTTTTTTTAGCTACTACAGTCTCTACTGCCTTAATAATTACAGATCGGATGGAGGGTGTCTGGGATCGAAGCGTAGTCCAAGGTAATTTACTAATTTAAGCCCGAATTCATAGTCCTTCTTCAAATCTCAAGTCTGGTTTTTAATATCTAAATTCGGATTTTAATTTTAAATCTCCAAACCTAAATTTCAGTGCTAATAGCTAATCATCAAATTCAGTTCTTCGTTACTGTTCGTGACTGACAGCGAAATTTTTTTACCAGGGTTATTATAAATATTTTATATATTATAAATATTTTGATTCTTACACTTGCTTAAAAAATAGATTTTCTAGATGGATTTTTGGTCGATTACATTTGATTATATCTTGTAATCTCACGTTTTTATTTTATTCTCACGCTTCCCGCTCAGTCACGAATAGTCACGAAGAACTGAATTTGGTCATTAGCCATTAGCACTGAAATTTAGGTTTGGAGATTCAAGATTGAAATCCGAATTCTCAGATATTGAAGACCAGACTTGAAATCTAAAAAAGAACTATGAATTTGGACCTTAGTCTTCGAAATAAGTTTTTCAACTATTTCCTATCATAGTAATTCAAATGTGTAATGTAAATATGCAATAGGAGTCAAGACAGAAGATATTCTGCTATCCCATATTCTTATTCAGTGCATCAGCATAGCTATCCATACTGCTATGATAGTGCTTTTATTCTTTCCCATATGGGGTTTAGAATGCAAAGGATCAATGTTTACTGTAATAGTCCTCACATTTCTCGTCGGTTTTTGCGGACTGATGCATGGTAAGTACACCACACAACATAAATATAAAAAAAAGTGCGTAGTAACAATTTAAAAACTGCTAGAAATTAAACTGATTATTTTGTATTATTATTTTCATAGGTTTCATTATTTCTGTTATGTGTAAAGATCACACTATGGCGCATTACTGCTCGGCCGGAAGCTTTTTCCCGCTAATAGTAACGTCCGGTGAGTCCTTATTCTTTTGTTTTTCGCGAAAATTATTTTTTATTTCAATCTAGAGTTATTAATCTGTTGTTAAATAATATCGTTATTCTTCATATATTTTTAAAAAATGTTATTTTATTCAAATAATATTCTTATAAATCCTTATTCCCTAAATAATTGTGAAATTAAAAATATATTCTCTAGTATCGTTATAAAATAACATGATTTATGTAACTCATCAGCAAATTAAAAATCTATTAATATAATAAATAACAGATTTAATATTTTAAAAAATTAAAAAAAAATAAAACGAAAATTTTGATCATAATCAAATACGACTTAAATTCTTTCTACTAAGAATATTGGAGAATTTTTTTATAAAAATTGAAAATGTCGATCTTGACGAAAATCGATTTATTTATTTTTCATTAACAGTTACTTTAAAATAATCGATTATTTAAACAATTATCGGCTATGTAAACGGTTATTTTTTATAATATATCCTAATCAGCATATAGTCACATTTTTTTAATTATTTTTCATTATTTAAATTATTAAGAAATTTATTTTGAAATATTTCATTATTAAAAATATTTGTGCAAATAAATAATTTAGAAGTGTTAAATTTTATGCACAAAGATTGATGTCAACTTGGTAATGTAACTAATGAGTAAGGTCAATATCTAATAAATAATAAATCTAATGTTTAATGGCAAATAGTAATGTTTAAGATCTTACTATTTATCTTTTTTGCCAGTAAAAGCACTGTCGCTGTATTAGATCAATATTACATACATCCGTTTTTTTGTCGTGCGACGAATTTTTTAAGCATGTTAATTGGCTGCAAAACAGAGAGGATTTCAGATCTCTTTGTCCTATAGCCAATCAACAGGCTTTAAAAATTTGTCGTACGACAAAAAACGGACGCATGTAATATCGACTTAATACAGCGACAATGTTTTTATTGGTAAAAAAGATAAATAGTAAGATCTTAAACATTACTATTTACCATTAAACACTAGATTTACTATAAATAGTAAGATCTTAAATATTTTATTTACTTATAAAATTAAAAATTTGAAAATAACCGTTTAAGTTCAATAATGTTATTTTTCAAATTCGATTACGGTTACTAGTAACAGATAACGAAATAACGCCCATCACTAGCTCAATTCAAATTAACATCAACAACATCTAGTGAAAAATTATCTTAGATTAATTAAATTTTTATTAATACACTAATTAACAAAATTATAGGATGTATATGGCCGGTGGAAGGTATGCCAGAAGGACTTCGCTGGATTAGCTATGCATTGCCAACTACGTTACCCTCTATATCTTTAAGAGGAGTTATCTATAAGGGTTATTCCATATCCGAATCGCAAGTTTATATTGGCTTTTTACTAAGTGCAGGATGGATATTATGTTCTTTTATGGTGACTGTATTTGGTGTAAGATCAAAATAACAATAATCCTCATAACAATTTTAGAAAATTCTAAAATTAGTATATTTCTAATTTCTTAGAAAGGAAACAAAAGCAGTCTCGCATAGAGATTACATTCAATTAAACTTAAATGTACAGAATGTTTCGTCTAATTTAATTTCTTGATTTATATATAATGTACAAGAAGAGATATAATTATTTCAAACATAACCATTTGTGAAAAATTGTTTTAAAAGAATAAATTTAATATTTTTTTATTTAATTAATCGTAATTGTAAATTAAATTTTTTTCCTATTTTAAATAAATAATTATACTTTATTTTATTACATAATATAATAATAATAATAATACAAAATTAATTAATCACTTCTGAATGATAGCAGTATTAAACATTCTCAGAGAATATCAATGAATATATTTTAGACAAAAAAATTAATCTCATATGAGTTCACGTCATACATTCAAAATCGTCATTTTTTAACTTGTTTTTTAATTTGCTGATATATTCTATAGATAAAAATATGACGTCTTATATTTTTATTTGTAAAATATGTCAGCAAATTAAAAAACAAATTAAAAATGACGATATTTCAAAGGTATTGGAATTTAACGTGAAATGCCTCATATGTGGGATTATAAAGTGAAAATAATACTAACTAAAAATATACTGGATGTCTATAAAGTCCCACCCAGGCCATATATTTCAGAAACGGCTTTAAATATGGAAAAATGTCTCAGATAGAAGTTATAGGACATATTAATGGGGACATATGATGAAAATATGAATTTGACCTTGAGTGATCTTCTAAAGGTAGGTAGATTAGATCAATGTGATCGTTGTTTTCTTAAATAATATCCCTCATTTTTTATTGTATATTCTTGTAGCTTATCTGGAGAGCTTTTCAAAACACTATAATAAAATTTTCATTAAGTTTTCGAGTTATAAGGCTTGAAAGTTACAGTACCGCCGGCATTAGCATTACCCAAGGTGTCCGACCAATGGCTAAAAACAAATGGCTTCTTGAATGTTGTTCAGAATCATGACCTAGATAATATTTGTCAAGATCAAGAGGCCATTGGAGGTCCTCTTATTTTCATTTTTGTACTAAAAATTCATAAAAATGAAACATATCTAAAACTGATTCCAAGATATATGGCCTGAGTGAGACTTTATATAGACACCCCATATTTAGTTGTAGTAAAGTACTTTTAATTGTATTTATATATATTGTACAAAAGATTGTTGTATAAGAAATAAAAGATTGTGTTGTTTAGAAAATAAAATAATCTATTTTAATATATGTATACATGTAATTACACTTTTAAGTTATACATTTTAGTTAAAAATTAAAGAAGAGTAGTATTACAACAACTGAAGATGAAAAGAAAAGAGTCGAAGAGGGAAATTAAGACAATGGAGAAAAGAGGGAACCGAATAAAAATAAAGATATATACGGTTCATTAAATATGTTTCCTTTGATAACATATTAATCTTACATGTATATTATATGTATAAATATACACAGTTCTCTATATACAAACATATGC